AAGACCCCAAAAACGCCACAAGAAGACTCTTTGAATTAATCAACAAATTCAGCAGTGTAGCTGGATACAAAGTCAACACCCCAAAATCAATAGCATTCCTATACACAAGCAACAAACAGACAGAGAAATTAAGGGAACCATAACTTTCACAATAGCATCCAAGAATTGAAATATTTAGAATTCTATCTAATGAAAGAAGCAAAAGATCTATTCAGTGAAAACTACAGTACTCTGAAAAAAGAGACCGAAGAAGAATTCATTAAATGGAAAAATATTCCTTCCTCATGGATAGGAAGAATCAACATTGTGAAAATGGCCATACTCCCAAAACTGCTGTATAGATTCAATGTAATTCCCATTAAACTGTCATTAGCATACCTGGCAGATCTTGAGAAAACATGCCTTAAATTCATCTGGAACCACAGGAGACCCAGAATAGCAAAAGCAATCCTGGGCAGCAAGGACAAGTCAGGTGGAATCACAATCGCTGACCTGAAAGGATGCAACTTGAGACCATACTCATAAGTGGAATAAATCAGACCTCCATGTGTAAGCAGGATTTTGATTTGATGTTGATAAATCATAGTAAGCAGAATCCTTGATACACAAAATAAAAGTATATTCAGTTAACTTCATATTACTCTTTACATGTGGAATTCCTCAAAGCACTGCCCTTTGCACATGAAATTCCCAGTCAAAACCTTCTTTTTCAGAAATACACTATATATCCAATGTATTTATAACTAATGCATATGTATATATCATACATATTCCTAAGATTATATATACATATATATGTATATATATATACATATCCAACTTTTTAAACCTATTGTGTATGGAATGATCATTCACATCTTATGTCATCTTACTTATTTCAATTAGCTTTTTCTTTGTCTTATTCATGCTCATTGAATATTTTATTAATGAAATTATTTTCTGTTTATCATATTCTCTTTGAGCTCACTGACCACCATAAGCAATTGTTCTTTTGATCTGCCTTTGACCTCCTTGATCATTTTAACCATTGTTATGAGTTCTCAGACTGTGAGTTCCTCCATATCAATGTATGAGATCAGGCTTCAGAGATTTCAAAGTTTTTGAGGCACCTTGTTGTCTTGATTTTTCCCATTTATATTCTTGTGTCGATGGTTTATAGTCACTATTACTGTTGTTACTGTTGCTACTGTAAATTCTCCAGTGCCAAATCATGTCTTCCATGTCTGTCTTTGTTAGATGCTGCCCATGCTGCCCTTGTTTGAGTGACCATCCTGTCCTTGCCTTATGTGTCTGAGGCAACCTTGTTAAATTCTGAGGTGAAACTTCCATGAATCTTGCCCAAATTTTCTCCAGCATTTCTGCCAAAACTGAAGGTTGGCAGCTCCACAGAGTGACAGAGCTTTCAGGCTCCAGGAAGAAGGTAATTGGAACAGAAAAAATTGTGGCAGAAGCCCAGGAAGACATAGGGGAGGGAGCAAGTAACTCCAATAAATCAGCATTGGGCAACCCCATTTATATCTTAAAATCATGCTTCTGAATTTTTCATTATAACACACTGTGATTTCAAATCATTCACATTTCAGATGTTTCTTTTTAAAATTTTATTATGAGATGCTTACAGTGCATAATGTCTGCATTCTTGGTGGGAGTGGGTACATGTATATAAGATATCATCATTATTTTTTCATTTCTTCTCCCTCCCCTCCCTTCTGCTTCCATCCATCTCCTGATACTCTTATTTTCTTCTTGGTATATGAGAATCTCAGATTTTTCATTTTTACACTATCTTATACTTATTCTATTTAATTTACATTAATAGATTTCTTAAGAAATATTTACTTTTATAGCAGAAACCTAAATATGTCATACCTTGTACATGCTATCTGGAAATATAGATATTAATTAAAAAATTGTATGAACATGAGTAAATCATCACAACATCCCTGTGTATGGATCACAATACACATGTTGTCTACCTGTTATTTATATTACTTACGTAACTCAGACCTTTACTTCCTCTCAAGTCTATAATTGGATCGTTACACATTAGAACACCACACACTATTTTAGTTCCTTTTCAGTTAATTTTTTTCATATCCTTTTTCTGTTGTGTACACCATTTAGCTTACAGGCATTGTATGCATAATTTTATTGCTATTAATATATTTATTATAAATTGTACTTTTATAATAATCTGATGCTTTTTTGTCGTATTCAGACTTTTTATTTTTATTCATGTATGTGGAGGAAACTTTCTAAGGTAGTTACCTGTGTGTGCATTATTTATCTTTATGTGTGTGGCTATCTGTCAACCTATGTGAACAACTCTGGGTGTGCATGCTTAATTCACTTATGTCTTTGTAGATAGATAAATTAATGTATGAACACGGTGATCATGTTGGTGCTTGTATGTCTTAGTATACATGCATGTGTTCTTCTTGGATTGTGAGACAGAAGAGTTATCAGTTCTGAAGACAAAGAGCAATGTCAAAGACAGTGCAGGAGAGGAACAAGAACAGTGAGGAGAAAGAAGAGCAGCTGGAGCAGGACAGCTCTCAAAAGAGAGAGGAGGTCAGTGAGGGAGGTAAGCAGCCAATGAAGGAGACAAGAGAAGTGAGACTGTATGGGACATAGACAGAAGAAAGGACAAGTTTGAAAGGAAAATGCAAAGGAAGCTAACAAATGTAGAAAGAACATGGAAATGGTACACTAGAAAAAAATAAGGGCAAAAAGAAATTGTCCCCCAGAAACAAAAGGTGAAAGAGTTAGTCTCCAACTAGACCTGCCTTAAAAAATGATAGTTATTCAAGTCAAAATAAAAAGACAATAATTACTAAAATGAAAACCTGTGAAAGTGTACATTTCAATGTTGAAGGTAGATATATACTTAAATACATTATATTCTAATAATGTTATGGTTCTTTGTAAATTACACAAAAACTTGTGAAAATGTACATCTTAATGCTGAAGAAAAATATATACTCAAATGTATAATATTTTAATAATGTCATGGTTCTTTGTAAATTATTTTTAATTCCAGTATAAGGGCTCAAAGACAAAAGTATTAAAATAAGTTTGTGCACATTTCCTTATAGTGTATACAACATAAAATATGTAAATTGTTATATCAAACACAAAAGAAATGAATATTTATTCTAAGAGCACTCAAAATAGCTAAGAGGCCATGTAATAGAAGAATGAATAAATATAATGCAATTTGTGTACACAGCAGAGTATTATTCAGGAATAAAGAAGAATAAAATGCTGTTCTTTGCCAAAAAAAAAAAAAAATAGAATGAGAAGACATTATGTTAAGTGAAATAAGCTGGAAGAAAAAGACATAGCATGTATTCTCTGTCATATGAGTAAGCTAATTGAAATCAATCTAAATGTAGAGTAGTGATTGCAAATTATTCTGAAGGGTGTTAAGGTGGGGGTATGCCATTTGAAATTGAGGATCAATTTTATCTATGTATGCTACAGCATATGTGGAGACATTAAACAACCCAATACATATGTACACTTAGTGTGTATTATTAGCAACAAAATTTAGGAAAGTGACTGAAAATGTAAAGCTTTGGTGTTAAGCTGCTGTAAATTCAAATCAGATGGCTATAACTAGAAACTGTTTTCTGTAAACATCCTATCACAGATAAAAATTGGATAAGGAAAAAGGAAGCACATCAAAAATCATCAATTGCACTTAATATGAAACCAGAAATAACAACTTTTATGTCTGTAACAATAGACTTAAAGTTTACAACATTTGACAGTTTCTCTTGGAAATGCACAGAGCCATGAGCTTATGCAATTCCTATTCACATGCACAGCCAGAAAGAATCAGCCCATGATTCTGCCTTTTTTATGAAATCCAACTCTATTTTATACAAGCATGGACATAAAAGAAAGTCACAGTTCACTGTGTTTAAAAAGGATTTCAATTTTACAAAAAAGCTTCAGTGAGACATATGAGCTTCCTAAAAAACAGTTTAGAGGTGCGACACAGAGACTCCTTCAGGCACTGGATTGATGCAGCATCTTGGCCTTTTTTCCTTCCCCTGTACCATTCTTCATCTGCTTGTCTCTTCTCTCCAATTTACACTTCACTGCATTAAGTTACAGTTACATTTTCTTCCTCAGTGTATATTTTCACCTAAGCACCCTTGTCTGTCTTTCTTGGACGTAGGTTAGCCTTTCTTTAGCATCTGACTTAAGACCATAGGTGTACTTCAATGTCTCTCTCTATATTTCAGTCTCTGTCTGGATGTTGCTCATCCAGCCAATTAATATCATCTGTAAAGAGTCCAAACACAAAAACCTCCAGTCTTTTAAGGAAGTTTCTGCTAAACTTGTCCTGCACTGCTACAGATGAGATATCATTTTTTTTCTATACAATAAACAAATCTACCCTCTGGGCCAGTAAGTGGACTTGTCTCTATCTTTGAGGACTCATTGTACATAACCAACCATGAAAAGAAGCTGCTCTAGTAGGTCACCTCTCAGGACCACTACCCAAAAAGCATGCTGATAGCTGACAATCTACAGAAGGGGCCTCCTAAGAGTATTAACCACTCATTTGGGCACTGTTTTGTCTTCCATAAGTGTTTCTAAAAACATGTCTCTCCCATCAGTCACTCATCAATACGACCCAGTGTTTGTTGCCAAGCCCATTTTATTTCCTTTCCAGAACATTTTACGGCAGTTTTCAGCAGGATGCTATGCAGAAGGATCAGCCCAGTCTACCACACTGACCTGAGAGTTCCACACTGACACAGCTTGAAAAATCCCCCAAATCACCAGAGTCCACCTTACAGGTTGATGTCTTTCTCTTTAATTCCCTACATTTAAAAATTTTAAATCATATTTATTTTATCAATTTTGTTGTTGTGTTGAAAATCAAACCTAATGCCCCCTATACCGTAGATAAGAACTCTACTACTGGCTGCTCTAGAAGCCTTTTTCAGTTTCTCTATCTGCCTTTCTAAGGGCCACTCTGTGTCTCAACCACTCACCTTTGTGCAAAAGAATGCACTTTGCATGCTTCTGACAAAACTTGAGAATTTGAACCAGAGTCTGGATGCAGTGGAGTTGCAGCTCATTAGAACAAAAGGGCTTACAGCAGGGAAGCAGGTGGAAATCAAGTCAGAGGTGTTCATGAGCCACCAACTAGGAATATTGAAATTCAAAACACAAGCATAAAAGATGGAGGAGAGGGTGTAAAATGACACAAAGGTGCATACGAGGACAAGGACACTTTGGGTGGCCCTGGACTCAGGGGATGATTTGTGGGAAACATTTGTTCTAAGGATGTATTGGACCTGCTGCTTGTGCCTGTGCAAAATGAAAATCATGGAGCCACTGGACCAGATCATGATCCCAGAAAATGAAACTTCAGGGAATAATATGAATGCTGCATACAGTGCCTCTATGATTTTGTCTCGAAATCCTGTAGAACAGAATCCATATTCTTTTTTCTTTGTGATATTTTTGCCACTATATTTGTGGCTTCTATAAAATGGAAAAATACCATTTACCAACGTATAGAGACTCCAAATGAGGAAAATAGAGAAGCTGATGTGCTTGGGAAGTTTAGCTTTAAGCTGCTTCCAACTGGAGTTCATGGGGCTGATCTTCACAGTCTGGAAGACACTCAGGAGGCAGGTTGTACTGACTGACACACCTCTGGCCACTCTGTAGACATAAAAAAGAACTGTGCATATAATACCTTGAGAGAAATACTTTATCCCAAAGGCTTGCACTGTCTGTGAGACTCCTTTAGACAGCATGATCAATGTGTTTGCTATAGTCAAGTGCTCAGCTATTAGATCTGTGGGCCTTAACATGTATCCGGAGAAGCAGAGGGAGAGATAATGGAAAAGAAGAACAATGTTAGCTAGGATCCCAGTGACTGTCTGAGTCAGAAAAGTCATTCCTATCGCCAAGTCCCTAGATGCCATTCTGCTATGAGGATGTAGGAATCATCAACCTATTGGTCATTTGGGAGAGTGAAATTTCCCGTTGGTTGTGCAGTGCTTTGGGATTACTGGAGACAAGAGAGTTTGGAACAGGGGGAGAGAAGTAGGACAGGCTCCACACCAAGGCTGAGCTGGTGTTAGCCCGGGTGAAGCAATGATAAGAAATGGAATGAAAGCTTAAGAGAACAGCTGCTTGATAGCAGAAAGAGGCCAATCTCAGTGGATCAACTATTTTCATGTACAACTGGCATAATACTTGCATATAAACTATGGAATCTTGTCCTACAATTTAATTTGCCTCAAGAATACTCATGATGCCTAAGGCAAGGTAAATGTTATGTAACTAGAAGTTATAGTGTGCTTTTAGAAAATACTAAAAAGGAAAACATTTGCACATAGTCAGTGCCCATACCTTTGAGAATATATTTTTAGGCCATGTTTGCAAGATCTACATACGTGAAACACATGAGTACCTAAAGCAGAGCACAAAGCATTTTCTGAATAAATTTGAATTTGTGAACAGGAAAAAAAATTCCCATCACAGTTCACATCATACCACGAGGAGATTATAAAAAGATTGCTGAACAAAATATTGAAGTCGGGGCTGGGGATTTAGCTCAGTGGCAAAAAGCGCCTGCCTGGCAAGCGCAAGGTCGTGAGTTCGGTTCCCGGTACCGAAGAAAAACCAAAAAAAAAAAAAATATTGAAGTCTGTGTTCTTAGTGTATGAAAAATTATTTAAACACTACAAAAATTAATAACCAAGAGATGTGATGTGACAAAATTGTTAGTTTTAAGATAAGAGATTCACCTCATCAGAAGACAAAGGGAACTCTTTTCCAGTATCTATAAATGACTACAAATGATTTGCAATATACAGACAACACAAAAGGATAATATGTGCAAGCTGAATAAAATAGGCTATTAAGAAAGAGGCTACACCATAGTTTATAGTCAGTTACAGAGTAACAGTAAATAACAGGAGCCAGAAAAAAAAAACACTGCTTTTAGCATTGTATAACAACTGGAATGCTCAAATTAGAGTAGTAGAAAATATCACCTTTACAAAATAATGTGGATATGCCAGGACTCTCATACCTTGTTGGTATCAGTACAAAGATTAGTACACTAGTACAAAGACTGGTAAACTAGTACAAATATTCTAGGCAACAGTTAGTGTCCACTAAAGCTGGAAAGATCTTAACACATCTGCCAACATCTACTCCTACGTATAGGGCCAACAGAAATTTATATGATTTTAAAAGACACAAATTCTAGATTTTAGATCCCAGTGCTATTTGTAATAACCTTACCCTAAAATGACAACACAGGGACATTAGTAGTCAAATTCAAAACCACTTGTTGGCTACTCACACAATTCAATGACATAGAGATATTCTAATCAGTGATGCATGGAAACATGCAAAAAAACAGATGAATTCTTTAATAACATATGGGATGAACAACCCAAATATTATAGAGCTGATGTTGCATAATTGCATTTATATAAACCATAAAAAGATGGAAGTGATCTGTGTTCCTTGATGTTGGGATAGTGTTGTACTGAGCTGGGGATGCAGGGGCTGGAATGGTCACAGGGGAACTAATGGAGCGTGAACAAGAAGCTGTCCCTTGAACTTGAAGCTGCAAAGCAAAGAAGTGTTCAGATTATGAAACCGCATGGAGCCATTTGCTTCTAACTTGTGTGTGTATCTTTAAAATGAAAAAAAAAAATCATCGTGAGAAACTATTGCAAGAAGGGAAAGACAACAATGTTAAACCTCTATTTCCTAGGCAGAGTTTAAATTACTAACATCACATTATGTTTTCTTTCCATTATGTGGTGCAATTTCTAGAATATACAATATAAGATCCTGATTATACTCTGTACAAAGTGTGATTACCAATAATACCACAGGAAAATTTAAAATAGAATGGATTAAAAAAAGTGTGTGATGAAAAGAGCAAAATAAATCAGTAAATTTAAACTCCAATATGGTACTTTTATTATAAAATAATTCTTACAAAAAAGCCACATATTTCTTTAACAGAAAATATCAACTACATCTAATTGAAAACATTTTTGGGGAGGTAACTTAAATATCAAGATTAAAAAAGAAAAAATACAAATCACGCATTATAATCAAATGAATAGACTGAAAATAAAAATAAAATGACATTAACAAAAAAGTAGTTTGTCAGTACTTTTACTGGTTATTTTTAAAATTTTTAATAGTGCACACTTTCAATATTATTGCTTCAATGACAACAAACATGATCAGTAGTTTGCTTTGGCTTGTTTGTTGGTGATTCCAAATTAAAAACAAGGGGCCGATCTTGTCACTGAGCTACATTCCTTATCATTTTAGCTATTTTTTACAGGGTCTCACCAAGTTGCCAGGCTGGCCCAGAAGTCGCTCTTCCTGCCTCAGCCTCCTGAATAAGTGGGATTAGAGGCATATACCACTATGTCCAGAATAATCAGTGGGTGTCAGGTTTGACTCATCGTTAGAGTGCAATTTAGGTTTTCTTTGTGAAAGAGAGGCTCACCTGGCTTGCAGCTTCACAGGCTCAGAGTACAAGATCTGGAGGAGCCACTGCTTTGGCATCCAGTATGGCAACAGGAAGAAGCTTATCGTGCCTGGAGTGCAGGAACAATAATTTCACTTCAAAGGACAGAACAGAGACACACAGGCTTGCAGGGGACCCCTCCTCACTGCCCTACAATGACCAAAGTCCTTCCCATGTGTCCATACCACCCCTACCCACCACACCAGGAACCAGACTTAGCCACAACAGACACTTGCAGGACACCAGCCATGTGTAAACCACAGCTCCTGGACTGCAAACACAGCATATGTTCAGCAGGCCATGGCAAACCCAGGTCTCTGGAGAGTAATCTCAGTTCCTACTAAGGACGGGATCTTCAGAGCCAAAGATTTCTGTGTGAGAGTGTGAGTCTAGACTGAGACCCACTCGCCCCACTTCACTGCTGCTGCTCATGATGGACAGTGACTGAAAGTTTCCCTGCTCTAGTATCCTTCAGAGAGCTGAATGTTTAACTCTTAAATCACAAGTGCAATGTATTGTGAAAGCTGAACTTTAACCTTCACAAATCTCTGGGGCAGGAGCTATTGTTCATTTTATTTGAAAGATGGGGCACCTTTAGTATAGAGAAGGTAAGAGATTTGATTCAATTGGCTGCCGTGATAAGGACAGAGTGGGGATGGAACTGTTCCCAGCTGGTCACAGACAGTGTCTTGACTCTGTGCTAAACTCAGGAGACAGATCAGCTGTGCTTCTCCTGTTGAAGATCTGTGTTTACAATAGATTCTATGTCTACTCATTTGGCTTAATATTAGAATGCCTTGAGGTAAAATTATTAGTGTGTATTTTAGAGAAAAAATCAAATGTATTCATCACAGAAATTATCAAATTATATTACGCTATACCATGAAACCTAAGACATAAAAACTTAATATGTGACAAGATAGTACAAGGAAAAACTAAATTTTTAAATTTTGGAATCATATAGCTATGTATTTAATATCTAATCTGAATCATATACCTATCAATTTTTTATTATATAAGAGAATTTATGAATGAATTTTAATTGGTTTAAGTATCACCTCAGATTTGGAGACAATAGCATTACAAGCCTAAGGACCACAGGTATTGTGACACTTTCTCCCAGGCGCTAATTTCTATGTTGAGAAGTGAGTAACAAGCATCTCTAGTGAGTCTCTCCTTGTTCCCTCCTCTCCTTTACACTTCTGATTCTCTGGTGACAGCACTCTACTCTCACCTTTAAGACATTAACTTTTATTAGATTCCACATAAGAAGGAAATCTGGTTCTTATCTTTTTGTGCCTCTCTTATGTCGTTTTGACATATTTGCTATCTGTTGCAGAAAGCTCAGTTACCCTCTTCAGTAGCTGCACATCCAAGGCCACTAGTGTTCCTGTTTTTCCTGTTGTTCAGGTTTGCCTCTGGGTGACCTATGAGTAGCTCTACTTAGCCTTGGGTTTCCCAGTAGCTTTTGATTTGTATCTAGTTATCCCCGTTTTTAGGGGCGGGCAGTCGTGTCACCTGATGGCCAACCTTCTGGTCCAGCATCCCCTTGCAATTCAGTTCACGTGCACGACCTGACTCAGGTTGCACTGGTGCGACAATCCCGCTCCAGTGGACCTATGTCTCCAGGCGGTTTAGGGTACAAGCATGATTCAGACACAAACTGCAGGGTCTACAGTTTGTGAATCACCTAAATCTATGTCTCCACTCAGTTCAGGACTCATACAGGAACCAGATTCAGCCCAGATGGGTAGCAGTCACAGACTTCCCCAGCCTTCGCCTCACTGGAGGGTCTGGGCGAAGGCAAAGCACAGACTCGAATCCACTGGCCCTGCAGCACCTGGAGTACTTGCTCTCTTGGCGCAGGGTGCGTGGGGCTCAGAGAGTCTGCTTGCCTGGCTCAGAGAGCCTGCTCACCCAGCCCCCAGCCAGAGAAGACCCTGGGCCATTCAGTCCCGATCTCCTCTCTGCCGCCACAACGACTCAGTCTGCAATGTCCGCGGGGTCTTTGTTCTCGTGTCCTGACCTCCTGGATTGGATGGGGCCTACCTGGTTCTGTGCGCGCTTTTCAGCTGGGAATCGTGGTGGTATGAGTCCAGCCCACACTCGGTCCCAGGAGCCCTGCTGCTCCCCGAGAACTTGCTGCCTCGAGTTTATCTTTCTTTATAGCTGGGTAATATTCCATTAGTATAAAAGTACCACAATTTTTTTTATCCAATCCACAATGGATGGACATTTGGGTTGCTTGCACGTTAGCAATTACAAATTGAGCTGCTATGAACGTAGGTGCACATATATTGCTGTGATATGATATTTTCAGCTCTTCTGGGGAAATACCCAGAAGGGGAATAGCTGAGTTGAATGGGACCTCTAGACCTAGTTTTCTGAGGAATCTCCACACTGATTTCCACA